AGCTTATCTTGTTTTGGACTCTCCAAAACTGAACTGGCTGCCATTGAGTCAATGCTGACTCATAGCAAACCCCGCTGTGGGTTTCTGAGACTGGAACTGTTTTTGAGAGTGAAAGTCCAGCCTTTCTCAGGAGGACCTGTCGGCAGTTTCAAACTGCTGACCAGGCATATCGCAGCTCAACTCGTAAGCACTGCACCACCACCAGGGCTCCTAAATTGTTCACCAACAGTAGTTCAATGTGGCTGTGTTTGTGGAGTTTTAAACCGATATCCGTGATTTTTTGTGGAAGAAATCTGCTTTGCATGAATGTCTTTAATTCTGGGTTTTAGTTTCGTTCATATGTTAGCACATACAAATTCTCCTTGGTAATCTCCTTTCTGTCTCTCCTTAGTAATTTTCAGTGTGTCAAATATGAGCTTGATCGTACTAGCTTTTCTGCATGCCGCTAAAAAAGAAGTTGAGACCCCCGTTCTCGTGTTTCTTTACCTGTGGACATACTGGTGGTCATCTCTGGAATACAGGTCTCATTGTAACCCAGTGTCGGAAAGTGGTCTTGGTGCATGGGATATTTGACACGGTTGGAGTTCGACTTGGCCACTGGGCTTGACTAGAAAGCTAAGGACCTTGTACAGGGTTCCAGATGTGTCTTCGTTCCAGGGAAGATGTTGACTGTTTACTTGCACTGCTCTTGATAGGTTCCAGCTGTGGGAAGAAAGTATGTGTGCAAGCCAAATATACCCACGAAGGCAGGGGCTCTTTGTTTTGGTTACTGCTGACAGTGAAGTGATACTTTTTTCCTTTAGGTTCAGGCCCATGTGGCATTCATCTAAATATAATCCAAGTCATCTGCTTTTATCCCTGCCTCAGGTAATGGCCCCGTTGCACAGGGTCTGCTTGTGACCTCTGCTGTCTTCAGCAGGGAGAATTCGAGTCTATCTCCATGCCAGCCCAAGGTTGACTACCACAAGACAGCTTAGACATGCCACACCCCCTGCCGTTGATTCTGACATGAAGTGAATGAACTGTACAGCAGAGTAGAACTGCACCTTGAGGTTTCAGGGACCAAATCTTTACAAGATCACATAGCTGCATATTTCTCTCTCTCTCTCTCTCTCTCTCTCTCTCTCTCTCTCTCAGCAGCTTAGTAGGTTTGAACTGTGGACCTTTTGGTTAGTAGCTTAGTGCTTAACCCACTGTCACTAGGGATCCTCACAAGAGGGAAGAGGTTAACTGGCCACTTGTGCTTATAACTGTTCACTTGTTCACCAAACCCTAACCCAAACCCACTGTCCTCCAGTCTATTCAGACTCAAAGGGAGCAACCTCTGTATTTTCTGAGAGAGTGAATATTTCCTGGAACAGACAGCAGCAGCTTACTCTTGAGGAGCCCCTGGTGGATTTGAACCTGTTTGCAGCCCAGTTTTTATCCCACAGCGCCACCAGGGCTCCTTTCCTCATACAAGAGAGGGGAATAGTGTTAACTGGCAGTAGCCACAACTTAAAAATGTTGCAATGTGTTGGATATTTGGTACATATTTTGAATTTCCTCTGAGAACTAAAGTAGGTTATCTTGCCTTTCATTAAATTCCTTATGAATTTATGTTTAGGACGGAAGGTTGGTAGTGTAGGTATATGTGTTAAGCTTGATTGACTAGAAAAATCCAGTGAAACTCACATTATGTATAAGAAAGCTTTATGTCAAGAAGTGATTACGTATATCTGGAAAGCATCCCAGCCCAGTCCAAGTCAAGCCCATAGGTCCAGGACTAGTCCATAAGTCCTTCTTTAGAATCACAGCCACAAGCAATGATGAAGAATGCAAGGAGATCACAGGCCGGTGGGTGTAAAGCCAATGATGGTGTGAGCACCTCTGGGCTCTGGCAGGTCTCAGAGTGGCCCGCCAGCAGGAAGGTGAAAACTGAGAGTGAAGGGGAGGTTCCCAGGGGCCTCCTTATGAGGAGGCCACACTCACAAGGAGGCACCATCAGGCTGTGACCTGATTGACAAGTTGAATGCCCCCCCCCCCCCAATTTTCTATACCTTCAAGTTGCCATGAAATTATGTGGCTTACCACAATGTATTTGGCTATGGAGGTAGCCCTGTCAATTCACAAGGAAAAGTCTGTGCCCTCCAGTCTCACAGGAACCTTCCTGTGTGGTAGGGCAGAGCAGCCTCATGGGCTCACACAGGGTGCAGAGTGTAGGCTTCATGGAAAGAGAATGCTGCATCTGGCTTCCAGCGAGTGGATGGTGAGTTCAAGGCATTGGCCTCCCAGTCCCCGGCCCAAATGCTTTAACCATAATACTCAACGGAAATTTTTGTTATCTTTTAATTCAATTTTTCAAGGAATGTTCCGAAACCTCCTTGTCTTAGGTAGTTCTGGTGGAAATGTAGTTAGATGGTTCATTCTGTTGTTTTTTTCACCTCTAGTTCCTATTTGATTAAATGATTTCCACCAAAATTGCAAGTCGGCTTTGCAGATGCACATGTAGTCACGGTGAAGTACTCTGGGAACTGGCCGTTATCTGACCAGTTCTGTCTCCGGCGTACATGGTTCTTTCCCTCTACCTGAATCCCTTTGGGGTTTCTTTTCCATGCAGTGGGTGTGGTTGATCATGGGGAAGTTGGCAACCAGAGCAAGGAACCTCAAGGGGTAACTGCTTTGTCTCTCTGCTTTACAATCTGGGGAGAAGACCAGCCATCATCTCCCTATAAGCAGCTCATTGCCTCCCATAAATCCCAAGCCATTCTGACGCCAGGCATGAATGTGTTTGACCACTGTGTTTGAACTTTGAGAGCTTTTTAGGGGGAAAGGGCAGAGTGCATTCGCTTTCCTTGCAATCTAATGGTATTAATAGAGTTTAAGTTTATTGGAAAGGAATCAAGAAAAATGTATTTCACATTTGTTACTCTTTGTACTTCTTGGTGGTAGTAGTCATCTTAAAATTCTTTTTTTAAAATTTTTTTATTTTTATTTTAGTGAGAGAGTGAATGAGAGTGAGTGAGTGAGTGAGTGAGTGAATGAGAGTGAGTGAGTGAGTAAATGAGAGAGAGTGAGAGAGTGAGTCAGTGAGTGAGTGAGTGAGTCCGTCTTAAAATTCTTAATGGGTTTCTTCGTTAGTGTTGTTATCATTACAAATACCAGCATGGGGTGACTTTATTAAAGAACAGAATATTCTCAGTGAGAAAATATTCTTCACAGGGCCAGAAGTCTGAATCCAGACTACCCACCACTGGGGAAAGCGCTCTGTCTCTCTCTGTTAGCACTGAAAGGAATCCTGGTCTCCTTCCCCAATCTGTTGCCCAGCATTTGATTCCTTGGTGTGCACGTGGCAGCGATGTTCGTCCCATCTTGTTGCTTCCCTCTTCCTTTCTACCTGCACATGTTCTCGTCTCTGTGACAAATGCAGAATTACCAGGTTTGGGATATAACTGAAGGAAGCATGGCAAAATAAAGACCCTATTCCCAAATGGAATTATATATGTATAGATATACATATATCTTAGGATTTTTAACACTTATTTTGGAGGAACACAGTTCAAAACAGTGGGAAAGACATTGGATTTTTGCACTCTTGGTCCCAGATTGCACCATCAGTGAGTGGACTGCAGCTCTAAGTGGCACTTTATCCTGCAAGGGAGGACTGTCTTGCACTTCTCTATAATATTGATCGTGCTCTGGTGTTCCTGCTTTAGCTTCAGTTCAGGGAAGTTTAAGATGAAAACAAAGTGAGATCATTGGGTGTATGTGGATTTTTAAAAAATAATTTTATTGGGGGCTCCATCCATCCATCCATCCATCCATCCATCCATCCATCCATCCATCCATCCATCCATCCATCGTGTCAAGCACATTTGTACATTTATTGCCCTCATCATTCTGAAAACATTTGCTTTCTACTTGAGCCCTTGGTATCAGCTCCTCATTTCCCCCCCTCCCTACTCTCCCCCCCCCCCCTTCTTGAACCCTTGGTAATTTATAAATTATTATTTTGTGATATCTTACACTGTCCGATGTCTCCCCGCACCCACTTTTCTGTTGTCCGTCCCCCAAGGAGGAGGTTATATATAGATCCTTATAATCGGTCACCCCTTTCTACCCCACCTTCCCTTCACCCTCCTGGTATCGTCACTCTCATCACTGGTCCTGAAGGGATCATCTGCCCTGGATTCCCTGTGTTTCCCAGATTTTTTTTTTTAACCTAGCAGTTTTCCTTACCAGAATTTATTTTATAAATTTTCATGTTATTAACCTAATCAAAACATAAAGATAGGCTTCAAATGTACTCCGACTTTTGAGAACCTATGCCTGTCATTGGAGCCTTGGTGGTATAGTGGTTAATTGATTGGGCTACTAACCACAGGGTTAACAGTTCAAAACCACCTGCTGGTCTACAGAAGAAAGATAGACTTTCTACTCCTGTAAAGAGGAACAGTCTGGGAAACCCACAAGGGCCGTTCTACCCTGCCTTGTTTGGGTCACTGTGAGTTGGAATAATTTGGATTTGTCCTGTCATTCACCTCCTATATAGTGTTTTTACCATCCCCTTCTTCTCTGATTGAGTTTTCTTTCAGTTATGCCACTGGCTTTACATTTTAAAACTCTGGTGAGTTAACTTGCATAAACACAAAAGTTCATCCTCTACAACTTAATTTTTATTTGCTTGTTTACTTGCTCACGTCAACCCTTAATTTTTCCCCCTCAAGCTATTCAAATGAGATTTAAAAATTTTTTAATTTGTTATGTTTGGTGAATGGCATTATCCCCTGCTGGTGGATTTTGCTTGAAATCTGTTAAAAGGACACAGATGGAGTTTTATTTCCTGGGGATATTTGAAAAATAAATATAAAATGGCAGTGGAGATGAATAGGCTGGTTTTATGTGCTCAGCATTAAAGGATTAGGTTTGTAATTCATCAGTGTCTTCATTGTTTGGCTGCCCTGGAAGGGGGTGAGGATGAAGGCCTACTTTTCTGAGCAGTCTTTCTTAACGACCCCCAGGTTCTCCTGCGCTGCCCAACAGCATGGTGTATTTTGGAAGCTCTCAGGAGGAGGAGGATGTTGAGGAGGAAGACTATGAGACAGAGGATGTCAAAGCAGCCACCAACAATGCTTCATCTTCATGCCAGTCGACCCCCAGGAAAGGGAAAACTCACAAGCACGTTCACAATGGGCATGGTAAGTCCTCTGTTCAATTTCCATTGATGGTGATGGTGGTGGTGGTAAGGGATAAAACTCAAAGCTTTTGTGGTGAGACTGGAAGAGATCATCTGTGGACGAGGGAAAGTGGATGGAGACTGGTTGTTGGCAAAGCTTGTTCTGGATACTTTTCTAAGTTCCAGGCACTTGATGCACAGAGAGCACACTGTGACCCAGGGTATTCTAGAGGAATGGGTTGTGTATGCTTCCATCGTGGTGACTGATAGATTCCATCAGAGCTGCAGATAATCACAGCTAAGCAGAAACAGGTTAATTTCTGAGGGCTAACCTGGTAGCTCAAAGGATCCCCCGGTGGCGGCGTAGTGGTTGTGTGTTGGGCTGCTGATTGCAAGGTCTGCACCGTGAAACCACTAGCCGCTCTGAGGCAGAAAGGCAGGACTGTCCACTTCTGAAAGGAGTCACAGCATCAGAAACCCTCAGGGAGTTCTTCTCTGTCCTATGGGGTCACCACGAGTGGCAACCGACTTGGTGGCCATGAGTTTTGAGTTTGAATCTGTCGCCTTAAAACACCAAATTCTCTTAGAGTTCTCATTTATTCAGACTTCTTATGCATGGTGCCTAGAATACTACAGGGTCACTGAGTCAGCATGGATTTGATGGATGTTGTGGGTTTGGGTTTTGGTTGTAGGGCCATGCTGCTTCCGGAGATTCTATAGGGCAATTCTTTATAACTTTGATTAACTTCCGGCGATGGCTGCCTTATGTCACCATCACCTGAATCTCTCTCCATCTTCATTTGGCCTTTCAATCCTGTGTACTTTCTCTGTGTATCTCTTTCATGGAAACTTGTCATTGGGTTTAAGGTCCTCATAGATAACTTCATACAGACACTTCCTTGTGTCTGTATTCCCTCTTCTGTCATTTACGTCAGGCTGATTGAATTTGAGGCCCACCCTACTCCTTTTATCTTGATCTTTATCTTAATTATGTCTGCACAGACTGTATTTTCGTATAAGGTCACATTTCTTAGGCTCCTCATGCACATGGGTTTGGGTGCCAATATGACCTACCACAGTGGTCAGTGGTCAAGAAGTTTTTTTGTGAAGAGGCCTCTGTTCTGTTGCCACACTGATTTTGCAGATGACGTTAGTGTTGAAAGAAGACTGCTGTGGATCCAGAAGGTGTACATATTGTATGAAGTAGACAGAATTTCCCTCTTGTATTACAGGGCATAGGAAAAGTAGACAGAAAGGCAGGGACAATAGGTTTGAGTATTAGCTATGTAACTAACTTGACCAAAGAAAAGTGCCCAGTGATTTTTCAACAGACAAAAGGCTTACCGTATATACTCGTGTATAAGCTGAGTTTTCCAGCCCATTTTTAATGCCATTTTTGTGGTAAAAGTAGGTGCCTTGGCTGATACCCGGGTTGGCTTATACTCGAGTATATACGGTAATAGAAGTTATACTCTGAAAAAGATTAGTTTGGAAATCATTAAGATTTTATAAAGGGAAATAACTTACAGGAAAATGAAACAAATTGGAAGGCTCTAGCTGTGGGCAGTTACCTGGCAAGAAGGTAACAAGGGACTATAAACAATTGGTTGTTGGCAGTATACATAGGAAGCTACGATATAATTGTAAAGGGAAGACTGAGCTCTGGCACTGAGAGGATGTGATAATTACTTGGAATAGCTCGGGCTAGTCAAAGCAAGGAGGCAAAAGGAAAAGGCGAGTATAAAGACGACAGCAAAGAGAACAAAGTATGGAGCGAAAAGTCAGGTAATGTTGATTGTTATTCCAGAACCTCTCCCTCCGCATTCACATAGGACTCAGCTCCTAGGAGGAGAGAACCACAGTTTACAAATGGCACAAAATGAGTGGTGGACATTAGTGATTGAGGGAAAGAAAGATTTCTGTTTTTCTCTCAAAGCCTTTGCACTGCGTGACCATTGGTTTTTCTAGACTTGGTGACAAATAGTTTGGTACAAGTTGTCATCACAGAGGGAGGAGATGGGACTCTGTGTCTAGCTTCCATCATTGTTGGCTATTTCATCTTTACCAGTATAATGACTGTTCATCTGCATTTAGATGGCATGTAGACATAGTAGAAGAAGTAATCGAGCCCTTTTTGTCAATTATTTAATTCAGGAGATGGGGCTAATACAGTTGTAATATAAAATGGTAACTAAATTTTTTGGGGGAAAGGTGTTTACGAGAGGCAGGGATTGTGTAAAAAAAGGGGGCCCTGCATATGTGAGTTTGAATACCCAAAAACCATGGTAATTCATCGTTGACCCTATAGGATAGGGTAGAACTCTGTCCTTCCCTTGTGGGGTTTCTCAGATTAACTCTTTATAGGAGTAGAAAGCCTCATCTTTCTCTTTTGGAGCCACTGGTGTTTTCAAACTGCTGACCTTGAGGACAGCAGGCCAACCCTTAACCACTGCCCTATGAGTTTGAATAGGCACAGCAATGTAGCTGAGGTGGGGGTGGGGGCGGGCACAGCATGAACTGTGGAGCTTGTGTTGTGGTGGGAATGACAGAAGTTGTCTCACTGTCTGGAGGGATGTACTTTGGGGTGACTAGGACAGACCAGGAGAGAGTCTCTGTCGAAGCCACAATGGGCAAGAATTCAATTTTATAGTGACCAGAGAACTGTCGCTGATTATAAGTTTGGAAACCAGATAAAATGGATCAAGCTCAGAAAGATTCTCCGGGGTGTGACTTGGATCGATGTGTGTGCATGTGGCATTTAGACGTAAACATGACTAGGTTTCCACAACTGTCTGGATGGCCAGGCTCATTGGTAGAAAGGGAGTTAGTTAATTGAGGTGTAGTTGGGCTTTCTCACGGGTTGAGTTTGAGGTGATGATGAAAGACAACAGAAATACAGAGAGTAGACTGGGGGCTTACCAGGAAGCTGCTAGTTGCTGCTGTCGGAGCAAATGAGCTTTCTGTAAGCGTATAGAAGCAGGGACCTGTGAGGATCTCTCTTTTTTCTTCTAACCCAGAGATGTTTTATTTTTGCTTTAATAGAGAAGAGAACTAAGACTAAATAAATATTAACAAAACATGATGGACAAAAATGTATGAAATTAGGCTTATATCTGTATATGTATTTATAATAGGTAGATGAGGGGGCTTCAGAATTTTGTGGGAAAATGGAATTGAAAGATCATATACACCATACACATGTATTTCATTAGTATAGGCTTAGAATCATTCTTGAAGATACATCTGCATTTTCTCATCCTCTTAAATAATTGTTTGAATGATTCCCATGTGTACTTGCTGGATTTTTGGCTGGGTCTCCAATTACTTTCCTTTTCTTGCTTGGTGAAGAGACTCACGTTTCACTGGATCATTTTCGAATAGATTCAATGTCGAATGTCAACATTGATCATGTTCCATGTGGATGGATCTTATTGAAACTGTTCTCACGTGTACTTCAGGGTGATTGTGTGAAAGAGGAGTGCACATCTGGTAGGAGTTTATGTATGGAATTTTTATCCAAGACAAGACTTTAAATCTTTACAGGAGCAGACAGCCTCACCTGTCCCCCTCAGAGCAGCTGGTGGGTTTGAACTGCTGACTTATAGTTAGCAGCCCAGCCCTTAATCTCCATTGCCACCAGCGTTCCTTTCAGGAAAGAGAAGCACAGCTTTGCACTGATCACCATCATTGTCATTACAGTGAGAGAAGTGTTCTTGTTTTAATCTGTTTGATATTTATAGATCCCATGTATACATGTGTGTACACAGGTTATGAGATTTTTTTTTTTTGAGATTTTATTAAACAATGCGTGAAAGCAATATTGTTTAAGAGGGGCTCATGTTTTGGGGGCATTTACTTGTATCAGACATTTTCAGGAATACTCCTGGGTTTTGTTTTTACTAAGGTGTTTTTATTTTTATGTCCTCTGATCAAGGTAAGCTTGTGTGTGTGTGTACACACACTATGTGGGAGTTGGGGCTTGGGGGATTTCGGATTAGAACCCACTTGTCTCTTATCCTAAGTGTGCTCTAGTTCTCCCTCCTCCTGTCATCCCAGGCGCTGTCTAGTTTTCATCGCCAGTGCTGAAGGCATAACATGTGATTGCCGGATACTAAAGCAAACCAACACAAACTCGGTTCACCAAGAGGCTAACTCTGCACATACATACAAACACTGCTGTGCGTTCTTTAGTGCAAGATTTTGAAATCCTTACCTCCTAGCTTGAATAGCTGGGCTACTTAAGGGTCTGCTTCTAATGACCATTTGGCACTTACGAGGACAAGCTGATTCCCCCCAGATGCTCTTAGTCACGTGGAGCTATCAGTGGCTTACAGTTTCAGTCAGACTGAGTTCATTTGGGAGTACCCTAGCCACCAACATCCTATCCAGACTTTTGGTGCTCTTGACATTGTTTGAGCTGGGAGAAGTTGACTGTACGTTTAGGTATTTTGGTTTGTTTTGGATTCAGCTCCAGCAGAGCATATGGATTGTCCGGTTAGCACCTACCTGCGCTCGGGGGTGGGCTATTGTTGGCCCTAGTGATCTGTCATCCTGTTTGTGCTAGTGTTCTGTGCCATTCACTACTGCTGTCCAGAGCTCTAACTGAATGCCTGTGAAAGCTTTCAGATCCAGTCCAAAATTAAGCACCACTCACCCCCATTCTGGAATTTCCCTCTGGAACGTGGTTCATCTGCTTCTCTTAAATTAAAAAAAAAAATAATAATTTTTTTTTGGTGTGTGTGTGTGTGCGTGCTCTCCAGCTCTCTCTGACTGATGGTGACCTCCTGTGTTTCAGTCTAGGTCTTGGTGAAAAGTTAAACAGTCACAAGCACCAATCTTATCTCCATTGTAATTTTCCCCACAGACGTAGTTTGTCATTTTTTAGCAGTGATTATATGTAGAATTGTCAGCGGGATAATGCATGTATGCATGTTCCTAAAATCACTACGTTTGTGGCATGGTTGGAGAGAATTGTGGTAGAAATTATATTATACTAGGAAAGGGCCCGACATGTAATCACAG